TACATTGCAAGCTTAAACCTTGGCTCAATCCATTCAATAAAAACTTTTGGAAATTAAAACCATTATTGTTTCCTACTCTAAGTTTCACTAACCTTTTCAGAAACACCTTGTGGTGATGTTGGAACACATTGATCTGGTTTGCAAGCGATAAGTGGACTTTTATTGACTGGACTTTTTTGATCTGATAGTTTTTGTCTTTTTACTAGAGCCTGCAATTTCAAAATAACAAGTGAAAATGCAAATCAACATTTTTTTGACATAAAATGTCAAGATATTAAGCAATATGCACCTCTTCAGTAATGTAATCAGTTAATTTGCTGYTTGCTTTTCGTTTTCTGCCTCTTTTGGTTTTTAAAGCTGGTTCATTGTTTGGGACACTCTGTAGCTCTTCACTGTCTTGATTTTCGTTTTTTCTTCTTGATTTTCTGATGACCTGCTCAAGGACAAAAAGAAAAAAAGAAAATAACTTGAAGTTTTCTTACAACACAGTAAAAGACTTCCCAGTAAAAGACACACCAAAAGCACTTCATCACTACAGTGCCAACTATTTACAAGTTTTGCAATCAAAGATGATAAAACACTATGTCTGACCTGATTGTCTTTGGCTCCCTTCTTGATAACCTTATTTTCCTGTCTCTTTGCAATCCTTTTCTCTTTCTTCTCTTCCTGTTCCTTTTGTTCCTCAATTCGTTTCAGTAGAAACTGGGTGTAGATGTGYGATTTGTCCAGTAAATGCTGCAACCTGGAAAATCGCTGGGCCTCTTGCATTGTTAACCAATCGTCCATTTTCTAGACAATGTGCACAAGAATAAGATAAAAATAAAGTTTGTGTATTRAAGGTGAGTTAATTAAAGGACAAATCTATGCTTGGGATGAATGGATGGTTCATGGTTAGAAGGATTTAAATGAACCTAGAAGCTCAATGTGGAAGAGTCTTAAAAAACATTTTCCTGATAAAATCTATGATACCTTACATATMYATTGTCTAAAAMATYACTACYAWTGTGATCTACTGATCGATGTGATCCTTCGTAAAACGTGTCTAAAAAATATTACCAAYGATTGTTCTTTCTTGTCTTGTTCAACCATTTTGTCATGTAACTTCTTTTCTTCTGCTTCCATCGAAGCAGTTATGAAAGGTTGTACTTCAATATCATTGCCATCAGATGCAGACTTGGGTGTTGTTACAATAACTTTGGAATCATCAGAGGACAACTAAAATAACAAACGCAATATGTGATTGGATGAAGAGGTGAATTGAAGGTAACTTTATTCTACACAAAAGTTAAACAGTTCATCATTGAAATATCTTCCTGAAGGATCAACTAAAATGACAATAATTTTCCATTGCTTCTATATTACCATTGTTTKTTCTTTCTTTTCCTCTTCAACCATTTTGTTGGGGTTTTCCGTTTCCTCAGCTTCCACCAAACCAGTGATACAAGGTTGTTCTTCACCAGCATTGGCTGCAACGTCAGGTGCTTCTTGGGGTGTTATTGGTTTGGACTCTTTATTTGACGGCTATAACAATAATTAAGTGCATGCAGTTATGGATGAATAATGATATTATTGTAAATGTATAATTTAATTACTTTTGGCGAGTTTTATTATGAAMACTGACTATTGTATAAAGGGATAAGATGAATGTTATCACAGTTACATCGATCTAAATGTTAATGGATCTAATGTGCATCTAGTTCAGTATCGCTAACAATCCAATAAATAAAAGTAGGAACCCTGATATTAACACATATCTTTACTAATGATCATTACTAATGTGGTCATAAAACGACCAACTCATAATATCATTTTCGGTGAAATGTTGAAGTCAATACAACATTAGCTTTCACAATATTAAACACAAAGTACTTTTTATAATATAGCTGCATTTATGTCATGTTTCTAATACTATGTAACTACCTTTCTGGTAACTGATGGTACTATGGCTTCTTCACTTTCACTGCCTGCTAAAGACGACTTTTCTGCCTGATCATATGCAGTATATTCTGAATTACCCCTAGATGCTTGACCATTGGGTAATCCACTTGGCACGTMATGATTATCAGAAGTTAGTTCTTCCTGTGAACTGTTATCAGAACTTCCACCCAGGCTTGGTGAGACTTGTGCATCACATGTAGAATTRCCATCAGAAATTGGTACAACTTGGCATTCTTTTGTTGAAAACGTCTGGGATATTGCATTGACGGGAATACTGCATGCACTTTGGCTCTTGCATACTGCAATATCAGTGTTGGCAGCAACACTTTCAGATGTTTTTAGGGCCGGATTAATGCTTTCGTCCAAATGGCAATGGCTTGGTAGTTTCTTCTTTATTTTTTCATCAAAAGACTTATCCGATGACATTTGATTATTTGAAGCTGTCACATCTTTGTTGGAGATTGGTGTAGATATACTTGATTCTRGAGAATGTGATGTGATAGGGGACTGCTTGCCCTTACTGGCTCTTCCTCTACAGTCTTGACCTGGCTGGTCCCWTTGAACAGATGGTACTTTTTCTACCTCATTGCTGAAAGGATCGCCCTTAGATGCTGATGTAGCTGTATTTGTTTCTACCATATTTGTTGAGATGGAGGACTGCTCATTCTCACAACGTCTTCCTTGTTTCTTACTGACTTCCTCATCCAGTTGAACAGAGAATACTTTACCTATGAAGATCTCGTCACTGATAGCATCGCCATCAGATGATGATGAAGGTGCACTTGTTTTGGTAGTATTTGTTGASATGGAAGATTGCTTATTCTTGCTACTTCTTCCTCTCTTCTTACGGACTGCCTTATCTATGATGATTTCGTCATTGATAGTATCACCATCAGATGAGGATGGAGCTGCCCTTTCTTCTCCAGTATGTGCAGAGATAGTTGTTTCTGTGWTTTTTGCTATAATGGAAGAGTGTTCRTTCTTACTAGGCCTTCCTCTCTTTTTCTTGATTTCTATGTGAGATTGACCACAAGCTTTATTTTCACCTATTATCTTCCTTTTCAGATTATAGCTGCCAGCTTGCATTGAATCTATTTCTGTATTATTTGATTGGTTACTTTGTTCGTTCTTGAAATGCCTTCCTCTTTTCCTCTTGATTGTACCATCTGGTACATTAGATGGCACTTTTTTTACATTACATTCTCTTGGTGGATTTTTTTCTTTTCCGTTTAGTTCGTTTTTCTTCTTTGCTGCAATTTGGGAAGGGCGTTCCTCTTTAATGCTGTTTGCTGTCTTAGTCTGTTTTTCTATTTCTAACTCTGACGAACCAGGACATCCTTTGTCTGATTTCAATATTTTTGGTGAGTTCTTGGTAGGGAAAAATTCCGTCAAAACCTTTTGACATGAAAGGGAGTTTTCACCCTTATGTGAAACATTTTTAATGTCGCTGTTTGCCATGCTTGAAGTTGTCTCTATAGCATGATTGCTCGATAAGTTATTGGTTGGTTTATTACAAGACCTTGTCTGTCTTCTGTCTACATAGCAAGGCATCAATGACTGTCTTTTTACCCTAGAACTACCTTTTTTATCTACTGCTRTATTTTTACTTGAACTGTCATCCATCTTTGATACTTCACTAATGTAGCTGAAAAAAACAATGTTACATTATAGATCTAAAGAGATTTCTAATCTAGTAAATGAAAGTCTGTGCATATTATAAAATAACTAGTTTTAATAATAATAAAATAATATAAAATAAATCGCAAAAAAAAAGAATTTTCTTTTATTATGATTTCGTTTCCAATATTCTCTTATAATAAGTGGAAAAAAGCTTGGACCTTACGTTATTATTAGTAGGATAGAAATGATTTTGTACGATTGTGCAAAATCTACAGTATGTCCGTGCTGTGATGCAGTATTGCAGCTATGAACTTTCCTAAAGTCAATGTCTTCTATGGGCCAATACAAGGCAAGGTAACATGACCATGCCATGTGCTTTTTGTGCAATGATCCATACACTTGTACAATCATAAGAAATTTGTTCTAAAAATATTACAAATACTATTTGCACTATTACTTACGTCAGTTTTAGCTTGCACAGGTATTGAATTTCTTTTCTCTACATGATCTTTAAACTTTTCAGGAACTGTATCAGCCTTTGCAGGAGAACCAGAAACGTAWGCCAGTGCCTTGGATTTCAATATATACATAACATTAATATAACATAACTGGAAATCAGTGCTCAGCTATATAAACAAAAAATAAGTCCCACTAACAGAAAAGCTAATGTTTCAAGTATGTTTTTTTCTGCAAATCATATAGAGTTAATTATGGAAATTACATATTCTATATTTTTCCTCTAGCTAGGATCAGTTGTGGTCATAGCACCCTCGTCTTCTTCAAAGACTCTATTKCAAAAAACAACATTTGCACATACAGTATGCTACCCATACATCCGTTCATACATGCAATCCTTATATCAGCAAGCACTTCAATAATTGAAGTTGACTGCTGAATGAGGTGTATAGACTCTACACCCGGCATTTTTTCCCAAATAGGCCTCAATATTACTTTTTGTATTGAATTTATTCTTCATTAGCGTTTATTTACACTATCTGAAACAATACAGTATGTTGGCAGTCTGTTATACAAATGGCATGTAAGCCTCTACTCTTTCTTTAGATTTCAAGGTCTACTGACGGAGGACAAACAAAAGTGTTCTGAAAAAACAGCAAAAAGAAGAAAATTTGAATTCCAACAATGCAGACTCAGAAAAGAAAATAAATTTATAGATAGTGTTGTGGATTTAAGCACAATGCACTCTGTTTGGCAAAATACTTGACAGTATTTAAGTTCATATCAATGCCAACTAATATCAGAGTTAGTGATAAAAGCACGTGAAGTTACTCTTCCGAAAATACCTTACGCTAAGTCGAAAAGCTACAATAAATGAACTTTTAACGATAAAAATCCATTACAGATCAAAAAGTTCGACATAAAAGAGCRGAGGTAAASAGCAAACGGTGCAGTTTCATTTGTAAAAACAAGCCGGCAAGAGGTGGTTGTGACACGGTGGCAACAACTACAGTTAAGTAAGCTTACGTCTTGCAACTTTCACAGCAATAATGATTGAAAAAAACATCTTCTTACCTTTGCAAATAGTGACATACCACAATAAACGCCTGTATTGCAAGTTTACTGCTTTTCCTTAACCTTATTTGCGGGTATTTTAATACTAAAAGACTAACTTTTAGCTTCAAAWCASAGTTTACCACCTTCGTAGCAGCGTGCAAGCGGCCGGCCGTTCTGTGTAATGTCAGAGCGCTGACATCACGTGTCGGAATTTCCCGCCACTTAATGAACCAATTACAATTAACCACAGGTAGCCCAAGCATATGGGAATCACCGTCTCTGTTAATTTTGAATATAAACAAAGATTTCAATATTTTGAATATAAATAAAGATTTCACACGATTCTACTCTGCTTTCCCGCATGCACTTGAAATAAATATGATGTAAGTACGCTGTGTTAGCCTCAATTGTGTGCTAAAATCATGATATTCAGAAATGTAGATAAAACTCTTGAGTTCAAACTATTCACATTGTCTTCATACTGTTGTGAATAAAAGAATTTATTGCATGGTTTTGAGGCTAACACAGCGTAAAAGAGATCGCTAAAAGGGTTTATTCTGGAATTATCGATGCTGRGTAAAATTTCACGGGGTAAAAATTTGGTCTACATTCAGACTAGTGCTGGATTTTACTCCGGAACAGGGTATCGTTTTCAGCGATTTTACTCTGGAACAGGGTATAGTTTTCAGCGATTTTACTCTGGAACAGGGTATAGTTTTCAGCGATTTTACTCTGGAACAGGGTATAGTTTTCAACGATTTCACTCTGGAACAGGGGCAGAGTTTTGAGTTCCCAGCGGCACACCCCCACCCAAGTTGCGGGGGAGTACCCACCCCGGTATCCAGRAGTCTTTTTTTCTTACGATTGTAGCCACATTATTGGTTCCTTCAATGCTATATGAAGTCACATATCACGTGACCATGTGAAAAGTGTATGCTGTTACTCCTAATAGACCAAGGCAAGAAATTTCGAGTGACGCGTCCTGTTAACCAGAGGGYATCATCACGTGGCCGTGRGAAAATWGCAGGCAATTTCTCTTCAACTTACGCTGTTTCAATCAAACATGGTAATTGAGCAAACTATAAATCAATTAATATTTCTAACATGTGATATGAATATATGTTCCTGTAATTCCACCTTATTTGATTCTGTGCCAATAAAGACTGGTTAAACAAACCTTGGCCAACGAGTCAAGTTAATCACGGTAGGCGTGTGACATATCACGTGACTGTCGAAAAATGGGATGCAAATTCTCTTATTTTGTTTAAGTGCCAAAAATATATATAGCATAGATAATATCATTATGTCTAGAGAGCAGAAGTACATGTACTTCTGCTAGAGAGCCTATAGTTGATATTGCAACGTTTGCTGTAATCAAAGAATCTGTTTATCTTATTCTATGTTGAAGCCCGAGTAAACGCTCTAAGAGC